TCTTCTTTCCTAAGTCGGTACTTCTGGCTTCTCAGTGAATGGTAAACAAGGCTCTGCCCCAATACTCAGGCCAAAAGCTTGGAAGTCACCCTTTCCTGGTTGCCATGCATGTTCTGCTAATTTACCCATTATATCTCCCTCTGATCTATCCCTATCTGGTCTGCTAACTGGTACCCCTGTTTCCTTTTGTCCCTGTAGGGTTGATTCTCCACACAAGCACCAGTGATATTTTAGAGACAGAGTCTCACTTTATTGGCCTCAGTAGAGTGCTGTACCATAACAGCTCACGGCAACCTCCAGCCCTTGGACTTAGCCAATTTTCTTGCCTCAGTCTCCCGAGTAGCTGGGACTACAGGCACCTGCCACAACGCCCAGCTATTTTTTGTTGCAGTTTGGCTGGGGCTGGGTTTGAGCCCTCCACCCCTCAGTACATGGGGCTGGCGCCCTACTCACTGAGCCACAGGCACTGCTCTCACCAGTGATATTTTTATTTTATTTTATTTTATTTTGAGACAGAGCCTCAAGCTGTCTCCCTGGGTAGAGCACTGTGGCATCATAGCTCACAGCAACCTCCAACTCCTGAGTTCAAGGAAGTCTCCTTCCTCTGCCTCCCAAGTAGCTGGGACCACAGGTGCCCGCCACAACAACTGGCTATTTTTTGGTTGCAGCCATCATTGTTGTTTGGCAGGCCCGGGCTGGATTCGAACCCACTACCTTAGGTGTATGTGGCTGACGCCTTAGCCACTTGAGCCACAGGCACCAAGCCACCAGTGATATTTTAAAAAGCCCATTGGGCTGGCCCAGTCGCTTGCCTAAAATCCAAAAGTGGCTTTAATTATTCATCAGCAGCAGTAACTGTGGTTCAAGTCCTAAACAAAACACCTGACTTGAGCATTATCTACCCCTCACAAGTGTTCTTCCAAGGGAGACAATATCCCCGTTTTTTAGAAGATTAATTAGTTCAGAGATAAGAAGCAATCTGCTCACTCTCATCCTCTTAGCTGGGGCTCTGTCTTTTTTTTTTT